AACATTTAAACTAATCCAATCGCAAGTTGGCCTCAAACTTTACATTGTATATGGTACTTCCGCTTAATGTTATCACACTTATCGATAAAAAAAATCCAAGGTGATTCTAAATTTTGCCCCAGTTGTAGATAATGACACAATGGTTGTGAGTAAACAAAACCATTATCTCACACTAGATTCCGAGAACTAAAATCCCAGAGGGGTTTGTATGTAAACACATTTGTCAAATGCGGATACTGCAGTCAATATTAGCTTAAAATCCAATATTCCTTGACCGCGTCAGCTTGGTTGGGCGACGTGACCTCTCAGTTAATTTTTCGTTATGACTTATTAATAGGCTGCTCCATGGCCGTCGAGTAATTATGTTACATTTTAAACATCAGCCGTTATCTCTGGAATTATATATCAGGCTCAGGCTCTGGTATTACATTGGTTTAGGATATTCGATAGCTGCAATAAAAATAATGCCTGGAAAACGAGACGAGAGTATTGTCATATAGACCTTTCTATTTCATTACCGAGCTAGGATTACAATAGCATTCCTTACGGATATTTATAATTCAAACATGATATTCTAACTAATTGTTTAATGTGGTGATTTTTATTCATTCCAATTTATAGTCATTCATTTGCTAAATCGTCTATTGTCGACCTATATTGATACCAATCTCGACAGTTTTTTTAAAACGGGAAACATAGAATCTTAAAATAAATCCACATTCAGTACTGATAATATCACAATATGTAGTCAAATATCGCCTATCATTAAATACCGCCGAATATCACCAAACATCAATATAAAGGACATTCTAATTTTTGCTGCAAAATAAGGCCTATATTTAGTTAATTGATTGTTCAAATCGAACTTTTTGAAAACGTCAGACGATCTAATATATTCGAGGTTTTATAAGATATCAACAAAATAGAGTCACGTTTGTTTCCCGGTTGTATAAGTTTGTAAAAAGACATATAAGTGAATAGCACCTTACAAATATAAATCAATTTAGAGTTAGTTACAGTAGAGGCAAGCAGTGAATGAAACTGCATCATACAACTGTTTCATCATTGTACTTGTGTATTTGTTTCTGTTTGGGTTTTTTATCGTTTAGGTAAGATATATATATATATATATTTATTGATGCTCAATTGAAGCGAGATTACATATAGCTGTCCACGCGATAGCCTCCAATGTCCTAGTTGTCATTTTTCAATCCGCAATCACGAGGCAAGTCAAACAACGAATTAAACTACATCGTACCACTGTTTCATACCTTTGGAACTTGTCAATGATGCGAAGGGTCTAACATATGGCAAAATCTAGACGGGGATGTGCACTTATACCATTATGCAATAAATATAGTAAATGTCATAGACCTGATGATTTAAGAACAACGTCAACTACACGTGCTCATTCTGAAATGTGTCACCATTCAATTGAATTGAAATGTGGCATGCAGGTTACTTCGGGGACTAAAAGAACACATGGATTATGTAAATAGTACAAAAATACTTAATCTTTCATTTGATTTAATAGAATCATAACATCATACAAATTTGGAATTTATAGGCAATCACAAAATAATGGATTAACTATCTTACAATTGTTTCGTCGTTGTATGACTCGTCAGTTATTTTATCGACTCGATATGATGGTTTTGTAAAATTACTCTACAACAAATTTGTAAAATATAGATTGGAATGTGCATTATGATTGAAGAAACGTCGTAGTTTTCAATAAGAAAATATCTTATTATAATTACATATTTTGAACTACGCCTTTGATTCATATGAATTAAAATGCGTCATGCAGGGTACCTGCATACTTTGGAGACTAAATTCAGAGTTTAGCTTCTGAATCTCAAAAAAGGCAAAATTCTGGAGGACGTTTAAGAAAAATCATTTAAAAAAACTCAAAGGAGCAGTAACTGGATAGCTTGAAATCTCATCTATTATTGATACACTGATCATCAATAGCATGTACCTATATTGAAATGTCTTCATGTAGGCGTAAATACCATTACTTGTTCAATATGCGTTAATTAACAATCATAGAATATAGTATACGTGAAAAGGATTCGTGACATACAAAGAGTATATAAATGTATACAAATAAGTAGCAGTGTCTATTTACTTATACATTGTTGTGAAATTACTTGAAAGAAGTGTTAATGAAGGTATCACAATGCTATCCCTTGTGTAACTATCATGACGTCATTCTTGTCGGCATAGCAACGGCGACATTTTAGCATCAACTGTTCCAGTTGATGTACTGCAATGTCGATAATGAATATATAATTTAGTTTAATTTTAGTTATAATTATAACAATACATCAATATCCGTAGGATGAATTTTGAAATGAGTCAGTGATTAATGTGAACTTTTAGGGCTAAACTCGTAACCCAGGGGTTCAATAGAAGCAGATTGTTGAAAATTGTGGGGAAATTTTCATGGTCTTATTGAGAAATAGTCTATTTATTCTATATATTTCTATTGTGTGATATGAAGCTGGACGTGTTTAATGATCGATAGTTTGCCGGTGGTTGTGTCGTTGTATACCTTGTTCTCATTTGAGAACTTGACACTACTTACTTGGATTGACCACGGTATACATGGCAGATGTTGTCGATAAAGCAGAAGACGCTTACTCTCCAGAATCACCTAGTCTTACTCTCCTTGTTCTAGTCTTATGGAATTTGAATTATGATTTTGTTGCCATGTTGGTATTTTCTTGATGTAGCACTGTTGCTTATAAAGACCATCTTTACTATAACAACACAGTACAGATACTCATTTAATGTTTAATGTCAACACCAGTTCGAATTAAATTTTTCTCATCAGCAGATTATGGTGTAAATGTCTTGTTTTACGGATTTTGCATCCCCTCAACAATCAGGGTCATATGAGAATGGTATAACAATGTATATTGATAAATTATTATCATCGTTATTTTACCTAATATACAATTTTTCAAAAGTTTCTGACAACAAGGATACTGATAAGTAGGGAAAATCAACCAAAGTCATCATTCCGAGGTAATTCTCCAAACCTTTTTTTTCCTTGACATGAGTTACTTCCTTCCCAAAGGTTAATCTGATGTAAATAAAGACAGTTACCCAAATTCACGACGGCAGTTTACAGCTGCAGTAAAAAAAGATCGATATTGAAACAAAATTTAACCATAGGTAATCTGTAATGTGATTTACATCCTTTCATCAATTTATCGAGATTGAAAACGTTCTCACGAAATGAATTTAAAATAGAACTCAAATGTAATCGTGAAACTCCCAAACCCATCACCATAATCACTGTTTGTGTTCATGTTTTGCCTAAGCTGTTTAAGTCATTTGTTTCGTTGACGAATCCTAGAAGGACGAAACAGTTGTACGATGCAGGTTACTTATTGGATTCTACCGTATCTCACTCTAAAATTGTACTTAATGGTGCTAATCACATGTATGTCTTTTGAACAACCTCTTTCGCTAGGTAATAATTGAAGCAAAGAAACTACTTAGAATCCTCGATGTATTTCAAACCCAATTTTATGCCGGTATGGGGACAGCCAAGGTAATCTCAATGTTGTCGATGTAATACATTTGGAACCATTGTGCTAACGTACCATAAATATAGATGAAAGTAATCTGAGGTAGAAATATCTTTGTTCTGAAACGCCGCAAGTTGTCGTGAATAATGAATACTGGTAGGGGCCATGCTAGGGTCAAGTAAGGACGAACTGTGTACATGTAATACTTCGATAAGAACATTTGTTCTGGACATTGGAATACCACTAACGATATTTCCTAACAAGGATCTCGATAAGACAATAGAAACAGAAATAGAAAATTATATGAAAACATTAAAACAAAAAGGAATCTTAAGTTGAAGAATTTGTTTTGAAATCGGTATTTACCAGGTGATCAAATTAAAAAAAATTAAAGTCACATTCCTTATGTTATGACGAATTTGCTATACAGGTATTTCTACCCAAAGTAAGACAAATATTGGAAACGAAATCAAAACTACCAGTGTATTTGGTTTTACTATCTCTTCCCTTGAGTAATTAAGTTTTAATCAAGATGTGCTGATGTTGTTTGCTGTTGATATTCTATAACTTCAGAAAAAACAATCCATCCATAGGTATACCGCTTATTCGTTCCTTCATCAATGACATATTGTGCGATAAAGTCAACAAGCGCAGAGGGGAGTTCATCAACACTATAGCTAGGTATTAACTGTGCGATAAATATCCTTTGTTTTGTGTTCGAGTATAACGGCATCGTTTATATTTGCCATATAAAGGGTTAGATAGCTTTAAACGTCGTGTTGTTTGCTATGATATAGTATACCATTCTTTAATTACAGAAAATTGAATATAAATAATGGTAATAAGTTTTTAAACGATTTTCAAATTCCCATATAATAGCATGACGATGTATACATAAGTATACGTTTTACGCTGATATTTATCCTGTGTCTGTATCATACATGTCAAGTAGTATTTCGAACACATGCCATACTGCCCAAAAAGATAAATTCACATACAGTCAACAACTCAAGTGGGAAATTTAGATAAACACAGAATCTTTGTCTAAATTGTACACGAAGACACAATAATGCCTTCAGTTAGATATTTCAAAAGAACACCATATTGGTTACCAATATACAGCGATGTTATACCGATACCCGTAATAAAAAAAAACCCATTGATTTCTTCTTTCGAGCAATTAATGAATTATATTATGAATGTATGTAGATATGTACCTAATACAGTCTTTCATTTGAAAGAAAAATTATATATATATATATATATATATAAAATATATATATATATATATTATATAATTTTTCTTTCAAATATATTTATATATATACATATTTATGGCGATTATTGAATACTTATCACTCAATTAAATTCGATTTCGTAAATTTTGTCTATCTATACACTGTATGAGAATTCCTTCATTTACCATATCCGTGTTTCTATAATAAACTATTTACTTACCCTTCCACCCCCTCCACTGCCAGGGGCCGCTACATTTGTCCAATTTCTTGGGGTGACACGTTTTTCTAAACCACATTCATATGGTTCTTTTTCTTTTCGGTTGTTTGTGGTAATTCTTGGTATCGGCCATTGAGGTTTGTTTTTCCGAGAGGAAACTGTGATCGTACATCCCATGTGTTAGCTGGAGTGTGGTCAGTCTATTATATCCATTAGATGGCCGGAGAGTGGTCAGTCCGTTAAAGTCACTTTAATCCTCCAACGATTCTTCAGCGTCTTGTTATGTTCCATTGCACTAAAACATCAACAGATTAAGAATATATTGTTAAACTATTGATAATGATTCACAGGTATCCAGAATTCCCAACAGCGTCAGGTAGATGCTTGCCCGCCCGTGTATTGCGCTGCGCGTGTTGTACTGTACAATAACTACTGACGAATCGATAGCGTAAACAAACAATAAGGCTATAACAGTTTATTAAAACACTACTTAGTTCCAGTTAGTCTGTCGTATACGAAGACAAAAACTGCTCTGTCGTTTTTTTTAAAGAACACGAATGCCACTTTCCAATTCAACGTCTCATACCTTATATTTGTAAAAAAAAAATGTGAAATACGAAGAACCACGCGTTCCGATTGTTTATTCACAGCCTCTTTCACTACTATTGGTTGGCGACATCAAAGTCAGCATCAGTTTCAGCACACAAGTACGTTGCTCAGGTGACAATCTAAATATGCCCAGTGTTTGTATTTCCATTGCCGCCAATTTTCAGCGATAGCAGACGACAAAACAAAAAACGTCACAGGTACAGAGTAACCTGTCCTAGCCGACAATGGTGGGTTGTATAGTGTTTTTTCTACCAACAACCCTTTCTCCTTGCTTCTATCGTAACCCAATGTCTGCTCTAACGTAGCTTACCTTAGTTAACTGATTTTTATCGCTATTTCCAAACCCGGAAAGGTGCTTTTTATTGTTCACTTATCACAAAATCAATGTTTTATTTTGCAGACGATAGCTGCTGTGCAATGTATGCTGTTCCAAGTTTCTGCTATATAATGCATGATATTGATTGTCGGTTGTGGATCATAAGTGGTAGGACGACCTAAGCCCGATCAATTCCTTTACCTGGAGAACGAATTTGACAATACTTAATTAATCTCATTGTAATTGACATCGGTAGTAGAATATTTACTTAAGTGTGTATTTATAAGAACATTAATCACACTTAAGTTGATACAGTGTAAAAATTGCCTTGAAAAGTCCTGATAAGGAAAAGTAAATGATCACTTCGTTCTATATAACAACGTTTATCATTCCATTTTTATTTCAACAGTGCTTATCGTGTTTTAAGAGAGATACAGAAATACCAATACCTTCAAAAGTTTGAGGGGGGAGGGGGGATTTAAACGACTGTATTTGTATAACATGTAGGAACTTGCCAACAGATTTTTAAAAATCCTTTTATTTCGTTGCTTTATAGTTTAATTTTCTTTCCTTTTTTCTTTTTTTTAATGGCAAAGGCTTTCTTTTTTAATGTAACTGTCTCCTTTTTAGCTGTTTTCAATAACGGTTTTATTTAATGTCGTTTTATACTTGTGGATTTTTAAAATAAAATAAATATAATTGAGATTTATTGGAGATATTTAGAAAAATTCTTTTCAACTGGTATGTCTATGAATAACCAGATCACGTAGTTAATGCCAATCATGATGTTAACGAAACAACATGCGAGATAAGAACATACAGACAAGGCCCTGATACATATGCACAGCATCTAGGTGACATGGGAAACACCACCATTGGCAGAGGGCTATATAACAGCTCCCTGGGCCGTAATGGTACTCTGACTAAAAAGATCTATATATGACATAACATTAGTAGTAGATGTGGGATCAGTTATCAAATGATTAAAACAGTTCGAAAAATTTTAAGCGGTAAAGCCCAAAACATTACTTCATTTCAGTTTCTCAATATTCCCAAAGTCAAGGCACCAGTGAAAAAGGGGGAAGAAGTTCAAAATGTGATTTCGGACTGACACAAATCTAACAACACTTGGTCAGGACCATCTCAGTCTCGGGGTCCCCTCTGACATCCCATTGAAGAAGTTTCAAAGAGATGTTGCTCAGGGAAACAATGATTGCACATTTATGTTACAAAGTGACCTCCATGGTGGTCATATTCAAGTTGCTATCCTTCGAAAATAAAATATGCTTCTCCTAAACATACCCACCATTTTTCAGCTGAATGGCACCAGTGATGGCAGCCATATTGGATTTCAGATTGACCTGAAAAATAGTAGCACTTGATAAGGACTATCTAAATTTCATTTCAGGTAAGTTTCTGTCGACTTCCATCAGTAGAACTTAAGAAGAGTTCGAAATGTAAAATGCTTGAAGTAAATGCTAAATGTAAAAAGTACAACAAGATAGTGATAGGTTATTCTTACCCCTAGAGGTAGATGACCTAAACACTTGTCTTCCAATATGCTTTCCTCTTCTTATTCGATTACTCTGTAAGTGAGCAACGGGTTATCATAAACTGAATATTTTAAATCACTTATATTTCAGGAATACATTATTTCGCGAATACTGGTCTAGAAATGACTTTAAATTTGCGAATGATGAGCTGTTAGAGACATATGGACTCTGCGAGACTGCGATATGCGTAACCGACTCTTAAAAACAATCCCGAGGAGTTTCAATTCGTGATCGACTCTTCTCTTGTATTGTCACGAAAATAAACCCAATGCGAAATATAAGTGATCTACCGTAAACAAAGTAATAATGGTAGAAAATTTTGAATTCAGGTCATTGGTTCAAAGAAGGAAAATAACTACAAATCTTAGAAATGGCGACCGTACAATAAACATGTTTATTTGAGGAAAGAAACTCCTTTGTAACACACAGAAAATATCGACATGTTTACCAAATCGTAATTCAAACTCAAACTTAATGCAAAATGGATATTACAAGAAGGATTTGTTTACATGGAAATTCCAAAATCAACACTACAAGGGAATTTGCACACTATACTGAAAGACAGTATCTTTATATTCCTTCAGAGTAAATTCTGACTTTACTTGTTTACTGATCAAGACAATGCCACATTCCAGAAACTCTTAGCACGTGAAGTAAACAATATCATAAAAGAGAATTAAAATCTTTAGTTTTGGGTTGTTAACGAAATGATCAAAGTTACGTTCCTGTGACTTTTTGAAATATTAAAATTGATTAACCGTCAGTCACGACTGACAGAGCATGATAATGATTAAACATTGGTTGCCATATAACAACAATAGGTTTTGCTCAGACGCTACAGAAGTCGTTTTACATCACGTCCTCTCTTTTCTATAATCCATGCGTAATTACATTCTCATTTATTATTTATTTGTCATTGTGTGTAAGCATACATACATCTACAAACTAGTCTACAACACTATGTCAACATGTACTGGAATCACGTGCAGGACACGTGTGAGTGTTTTTAAATAGTAACTGATATCATTTATGTACGGTCAAGATTTGGCCTCCACAAGAGAGGATAAAAAAAAAAATAAAAAAGGTAGGGTTTTGGGTTGGCTCTCCTTGTTTGGACTAAATTATTCAACCTTGTAACGGAGTATTGATATGATATACAGTGTTCTGAAAAGATAAGTTATATTTTCAATAGAAAATTCGACTTTGATTTTTAACAGAGGTTTAAAGATTACAAAATAAACAATCTTGGTATAATTAGATATTGATATTTGTACACATCCGGACCTAATTTGATAACAAAGTAAATTAAGATATCATTAAAATTGTTTCGAAATCTAGAAAACAACAAAAATACAAATAAGATAAGTTACCGTGAAGATTATTTAAGATCTGAAATATTTAAACATAAATGACATCTCTCCTATCTGTTCATACATGACATCATAGGAACAAAACAGAAACAACTTGAAATACCACATGATCCATATCAATTATAAGAAAAAATTGTCTTAATACCATTTTTTCAACTGTTAAAAAAGAGTCTCTAAAAGACACAAAGCATCTTTTAATACACAAATTAGATTGAGTTTAGTCTATTTAAATGCATCATACTGTTGTTTCGTTCTTCTTGGACTCCTCTGGTCATCTGGATTGAGTTCTTCTGTTTCATCGACAACACCTATCATGAAAATCCTTGTCAATTCAAGTATGTATAGTCACATTCCCAAATAAGAAGGTAGGCAACAATGAACCAGGCAAACTAATGAGCATCAAACACGCCCAGCTTCATATCATACAAGAAGATACATACTTGCATGATGATATTCATCAGTCTGCATCAAAGATCATTGAAGAAGTACAGGGGAATAATACCATGTGTTCCGGAACAGAAAGAGTTTTTTGCACCATCCATTCAAAGTTACTAAGCTAGTGCAACCGTCAACCATGTTCTCAAAATATTGGCAAAATTTTCTCGCGCGAAGGAATACAAACTTTGAATTAGATACAATTATCAAATAGTGAACTAAGCTACATCATGAATCTTTTTAGGACAATGATGGTAGAGGTCTCTTGTTGAACCAAATCCATGTTGAGCTAGAAAAGATTAAGTTAACATGTTGGTGTTTCATTTTACTAGAGAATGTCGAGCAAATGCATTTCATTTAGCGGTACCTCTGATATAAAGACATGCACTTACAAATTAATAGCATGCGTGTAGTACGCCTTCCATTATTTTTATAGAATGTTAAGACTCAACACAAGGACAATTTGGATTCTCAATAAAATCGCTATTGATTAATTTACGATTTTAAAACAAATTTGCAGTTTTGCATTTTCTCCGCAGTAGTATTATAGCATAAATGATTATGTTTCTCTTTCAGGCAATCCATATAACAGTCGTCGATTAGAGATCCAAAATGAGAACGACAGACACACCTTAACGTATGCTTATAATGCATGCAACTATTCATATGGGAAATATCAGATATTGAAAATTGGATGACCATTCTCTGACCTCAGCGAACTGCAGCATACTGGAGATTGCAGATGGCTCTTTTTATCCTTTTGCCTGTTCGACAAAGTTTGCTACTTGATTTTCAGTCATTATACTCTCACTAAAGCAAACTCGCTCAAAGATTGTAAATAATACACACAAGTGAATATCACCTTTTCATAAATTACAGATACCGTAGAGCCAA